TTCTGGTATGAAAGAGAAAACCCATCAGCTCCCTCCATATATAAAAAGAAGCCAAGTTTTCCTAGTTTGTTTCAAAAGATTTGGTACTTTTCTACTAAGTAATACTTGCTCTTTACTTCAAATGAAACTCAATACTTTCACAAACAAAGCTCCACGACCCTTGTACAGTATGCTTAGTTTTCCCTCTATTACTTATTTTCCAGATGTTTCCCAGGAAAGTCATTACCAACTTTCAACAATTCAGTCTGGTATTTTTACTTCTCCCTTAAATAACTCTTCTTGATGCAGCTTTCCCAGTTCTTGAAATACAAACAATTTATCTTGGGCAGATGAGTTTCTACAGTTAAGTTTAGTAGAGATATCTGACTACCCACTAACGTCTCATGTCCCCAAACACTACATCTCCCCACATCCCAATTTCCCTGCAGCATATCCTCATTCAAATGTCTAGGACCCCACTTTGCTTCTGTCATAATTAAAAGTCAACAAAAAGCCAACTGTCAGAAAAATAAATAGGCAAAGAGATATATGAATCATCCTTAGAACCAGACCATTAGCTTCAAAGTGTTAGATTAAGTCCTGTCTTGGTATCAACAAGCACACATTGCAAAAAATGAACTAGAGAACACAATATTTTTAAACTACAAGACAGTTTGGATTAAGCCCACTAAGATGTATTTCAGGGGTAAGGACACCAGCTCTATAATAAGGAAGAAGAAAACTGAATACTGGGACACATCTCCTTTGGATAAAATTGGTTATTTAAGTGTTACAGAAACTAAGTTTTGGAAGGGAAGGTCCCTTGGCTAGTTGTTGTATATTAAGAGAGACAAAGTCTATCATGGTTTTTGAAACTAGACAAAGTCCCATTCTCCCTATTTAGAAAACAAAGCACAAAACTGATGACTCAAGATTCACACTGACTTCCACATCCCTTCCTTTGCGTTCTGCAAGACAAGGACCTGCTATAAAATCCAAACGTGAGTTGTCTTAGCACAAATTACAACATCTCTGCAGTTCTCATTTTACCAAGTGGAAAGTGTCTGCCTGTGTGTTATGTGTATGTTTGCACAGAGGCATATTTACCTCTGCTTATTAATCTGTTATTGCTAAATTTCTCTTAGATGGTAAGTACCTAAAAATTAAAGTACTTGATAACTGTGTAGCTGAGCATTATAAAACCAGCCCTTTCTTTCAAGTGCCTGAAAGCTTATCTTGCAACTTCCATAACAACACAGAAAGTAGCCTTTCCATCAAAGAAGGCTTTCTGGATGTCCGAGACTAAATTATTCTCAAATTTATCATTGCTTCTCCAACCATTCCCACTCTAAAGTCAAGTAGTGGGTAATGACACTGTGTAACCCTTTGACAAAAGTGTCTTGTGTACACAGGTTGTACATGAGAGAAACATCATCTTTAGGATTATCTTCAGTTTGTTCCCCCTCATTTTGGCAGCATGGTAGATATGAAGATTGGTATTCACCTAAAACAATCAACAATTTCTTTCAGAGTCACTTATCCATTTTCAAAGTTCAGTGTACTTTTGCAGTTTCTAGCCAGGGTTTCCATGCACCAAGTACAACAGTTTGGCATTTCTTTGGGACACAAGAGCAAAACTATTATCATTAACATAACCTCAAGCTTGCAAGCAATACTCAGGAACAACATTGAAAGGTCAAAGCCTGCTATACCAGACAGCATGCAAATTAGCCGTTAGGATATCCTGGGAGACCCTTTTCTACTCATTAGAAAACAGTATGAGGGAACACAGAGCCAAGAAAATAAGGTTCAATTCCTTCAGTAAAAAAGCTGAGTAAATCTCTAGTAAAAGATCAAGATTTTTACATATCAAGCTGACAACTTGTTTTGGAAAACCTGTTGCTGCAGGACCAAGTCTAGAACTTCAGAGGCAACCAAGTATTATTGAACTCCATGAGGAGCAAGATTTACTTTTGCCGGACAACTATAAAAAACAAGTTTAACTTTACATCACTGAACAGGTAACAAATAGTGACAGTATCTGTGCCTTAAAACCAGTATTAAAAAATGTCACCACTTCAGCATTTCCCTATCCATATGAAGATGTATTACCTACTGTAACTACAACCTGATGAATCTACCATTTAGTCCCTTGTAAACTACTTCAAAACTTCTTGAAGTGGACTTCAAGAGTGTTAACATAAAGGTTAGGAGCACAACAGAACGTATTAAAATTACATAACAATGCATATTATGACTAAAAGCATTTTTTGCTCAGCTTACATTTCAATCCTACAACACATTTCAACTTAATAGTTATTTTTCCTGGAAATTAAAAGCTTTACAACTGCCAGCATCACAACTGTTCCGAAACTAACTTCATAAATCCTCTTCGACAGCTTCATAATTAGAATTTGAAAGATGGTACGATCATACAGCTTTGTCTGCTAGCTTCAGAGTTTCACTTTATGCTTTTGCCAAGTTTTATACAGTGGAAAATAGCCAAGACAGAAAAATCAGCTAATTAAATTAATGCTCTATACTACAGCAGTGCCATGTTCATTATCACTAAATACCTGCTCAGTTAAGTCAAATATTAAGATGGTAATCAGTTTGACTTAAAGTTTATTACTTCAGTGTTATTTTCTTTACTCCTGACATCAGCTTCTATGATCCCTCTATAGAGTATTTTGACTCTTTCATAGTCACTTACCCACCCTGAATTATTTTAAGGTCATTTCAGTTATCTAAATATCTAGTCACACTGAAGAGTTATTCTTAGAGTTACAATAAAATATGCTTAATATTAATCTCTGAAAACAGTACAGGTGCTATACCTTATGATTGCCTCACCTCTCATTTTATTAATCTCCTAAATCCTAAAAGTTAATACACAGTGCTTTTAATCAGTTTGCTTTATCTTCACTATTTTCTTAGATTTCAATCATGCTACATAATCCAGGATTAACATTAATTTCAGTTTTTAAAAACTACATGTCAGTTAAAGTATTTGTTTTTATTGGTGCACATAACTGGTAGAACCATGACCCTGTATGATCTCTAGCTAGCTGAGGTTCAGTTTTGGCACTCTCTAAAACCAGCTAAGTTTTGCTATTTGCAATAATATTACTGCAGCAAAACAAAGTTGCTGAACAAACCTGAATATCAGCACACATGTAAACAGTGTCTATCAGTCCACACCAAAGAAACTACTGCTTTAACAGCTTTAACTAGTTTACTGCAGATAGTTATGCTGCATTTTCTATATGCTCAGGCATAAGTCATCCCCACAGCACAGCTAGCATTTATGTCTATTCTGCTTTTTCAGAAACTTGATTCATTTTAGAAAACATCATATATGATTCCTTAGTCCTTTTAGTCTGTTACAAACATTATCTGAATGATAGCCTTATGTTTTCATGCATGACAGTCATCATAAAAAGCATGAGTTCTACTTACAGCAGATCATATTCATAGAACTGACAACTTAAAAAGTGATGGACTTGAAAAAAAACTCCCACCTCCTTACAGTTAAGAATAGGGTTAAGAATAGAGCTATAAGCTGTACTGTTATTTTCTGAGTATGTTTGAATGTTACATTCCAAGAGAGTATTTCATCCCATTTAATGATGATATTGTAACTTCTTTGACTTGATGATTCTTACAGTGTGACTGTCTTTGTAATTGTTTTGAGACTGTTACACAGCCATGTGTTTTTTTTCTCCAGAAAGGAAGCATTAGAACCAAGCATTTGGAAGTAGCTTCTCCCAGAAGTGACTTTCATATTAATTTTCAGCACTTGATAGTCTTAGAATAGCTAGAATTTGATATAATTTGTTAAAGAATAAGTCCACTGCCTCAAACTACTTAGAACTTTCCAGTTAACTAGCTCATTAACTAGACAGTTAATTATAACTCACTATTTTTCTACAATTGCCTGCAGTGTAGTTATGTCAGCCTGAAACACCATCCTTTGTTCTACAGATGCAGATAACTATCAAGTATGAATTCTGAAGGATATGGCTTCAAACATCCTGTACCTCCAGTTTTAGCCTTAAGTTTTAATTCCCATCTCAATCCTTAAACATTCCTATTTCCTTTTAAATTCTTACAAAAATGTAATCTATATTAGTATCCTGTAACTGGCCAACATTCACTCTGACAACCCATACAGTGGAATAACACATGTCAAGGACTTACTGAAGAGCAGCAACACCATACAACAGAATGTTTTAGTTTTCATGTCTATTATTTTCCTTAAAAAAATGGTAATATATTAGCACTTAATGATCAAGCTAAGTATTAGCTAATTTTGCTAATCCATTATGGAAATCTGGAGAACTTTTCCACACTTGTACAGCACTATTCACATATACTCTAAGTCACACTGTTCCTTCACAAAGAAGGTGTCATACTAAAACTTTAATTACATTGTGTTAATAGATACAAGGATTTTTCCAACAGCAGTGGTGCTAAACAGACACACAAATTTGCTATATAATGCTAAGGTCAGCAATAGTTCTGTATGAGATACTTTATGATTACTGGGTATCTTGGATATTCCAAGAAAATGAGACAGTAACTGGAGTACAACGCACACATTCAGAACATAACCTTAGCTTGCTTAAAGCAGACAGTCTTTGGCTTTTTTTAATGTAGTTGTTCCCATCCCACTAAGATGTGTTTTTTCAATTCTTTGCAGACAAGGTACTGTTTATTGCATTGTTAAACACAGATTAACTCTGAGAATAAAAAGTTCACCTACCAGGAAAAAGTAACAACCTCAGAAACACTATGGGAAGTACCTCAACCTTAAGAATTTCCACTGTATGTTGCTATTAGTAAAGCGTCAGTTTAATCCCAAGTTTTACTGTAGCTCTCAAATTCATACTTTCAATGGGTTTTCACACAGTTAAAAGGTGGAATATTTTAGGCATCAACTGGCTCTTCAGTTTGCTATTTCAACTATTGACAAGAAAAATTCTGAGTTAACATAGTCTTGGCTGAGAAGTAAGACTTACCTAATATGTAGATAGTCTTCTGATCACTTCTCTGACCAAGGGAATTAGTCACCTTACAGATGTAAGTCCCAGTGTAGTTGTAAGTCAACGGGCTGCTGAACTGCAGAGTATTGTTGACAGATAGCAATCCTTCAGGCCATTGTCCATCCAACCTAAAACAAAAGTTTTATTTCAGCTATGAATTTTTATGACTGAAGTCTAAATATAACTAGTTGCAACAATCTAGAGTGAAGTTTTCCCAGTGCTCTGACACTGTCAGTGGACTATTATTGGATATTCTTAGTGTCCACCTGAATAGTCTGCAAATCTACTGGCACTAGCAAGCTGCCTACAAATGAACACTACAACAACTAAGAAAACACCATCTCAAAAGATCTTGGAGGAACAATCCAACTAAAGCTCTAAAAACTAGCAGAAAAATTAAGCAGCACTTATACTGCTGTCAGAATTATCTGCCTGTTCTTTCACATTCAGCTGAGCTATCACAGTAAGGATTTGTGTTACACACTTATTTACAGGAGATTTTGATTAGGATTTTTGAGCAACGGTTCAAGCATTTTATTCCCTCTCAACCTGCCTTTTCTCCCCTCCCACCCATGTCTCTTCCATCCAAATTACAGAATTTGGTGCTTGGTGACACATTTGGGGAAACAACTGGTAAAAAGAAATTGTTTCCAGTCCACCGGATTTTCTAAATCTATCATTTCCCTGTAACATTCTGCATGTGATTACAGTAACAGCGGTTCACAACAGAGAAAGGAGACAGGCCAAAGGCACTGGAACTATTTTAACAGAGTTGCTAACGGCCCATTAAACACCTGTGTAATTTCATGCCCTTGTATCTTATTTTGTTTTTATTTAAGTATCTATTAACAGCTAAGCAAGAATAAGTCGATATTAAAATGTGTGATCACCAGGTCTCAGTATCTTGGAACCACTTAGCAAGTATGATTTTAGGTAGTTCTGAACCAAAAAAGCCACCCGTGACACCTGAAAAAAGGTACTCAAATGGAAAAAACCCCACAGTTAACAGTAAACGTGATCTCCAACAAATGTAGATTGAAAAACATTCCCACTGCTTTGCTGACAGTGATTATTGCCCAGAATTGCTTCAGCCACATAAAGGTGATAAAAGTCATTAGGCATGTACTTAGTAATTCATAGTACCAGAAGTATTTTTCAAAAAACATTATAAAATAGTCAATTGATCTGAAAGCTCTATTCTAATAAAGTTCTCATACATGCAACATTTTAAAGTATTATTACCATGGAAAAGTTACTATCCTAACAAATACAATATCCCCTTTGCTACCAAGGGATAAAGATTTTTTGGTTTGGTAGTTCTAGAAGCTATTATAATTTGAAACCTGTAAGATAGCACAAAATTTCAATAGAGCTAGTTTCCATTTCCTTAAATACTCGAGCTATTGTTCTTTGGCATAGATTGCTACCCTTGGAGTTCCTCATTCACCAGTATTAGAGCTTCTTGGATGGGTTTTATTGTTGCTCAAAAAGGTACACACTAGTTTTATTCTAGTTTTATTTATTAATTCTAGAAAATTAATTTTTACTTGTAAAAGTTGGTTCACTTTTCACCTCAGGAAGTTTAAAAGTAACCTGTGAATCTTGAAGAACTTTACATATATTTCAACATGTATATTTCTTATGGTATTGGAAATAGAGGTTGTAAAAACTAATCAACACATACATCTCAAATACAAACCAAACTGAGAACCTGGTTCACCTGAAGAAACAAGCAGTACTGCTATTAAGATCTTGGCAAGCTTTTTTAAACATAAGAATTTTTGTGAGTTGAAATCTCACATCACACTGATTTTGAGCTAAGCATGGGATAGGGATGGTAGCACGTAGGTTGTTTAGTCAAGAATGGCATGGCTACGGTAGAGTTAGCTGCAGTACTGACTTAACATTTGAATGTCTGCTTTTAGGATTGAGTCAGTTATAGTAATGTTTTGTTTTCCTATGAAACTGCCATCAAGCAATTCCAAACTTATCAATACAATATTTTCAAACCACATTATGTCAATTGTTCCTACATGCTAAATTATATCTACCATTGAGAAGGCAGGGAAATGGATTACAGATTCAAATCAGTAAGTACTCCTGTGATTTTACAAATAGAAAGACTATAACGTAGCTACATATAAAACACTGTCCTTAGGAAAGTTATTTCCCTTGTTTCTACAGACAACAAATCAATTTATAATAGCTGGTTTAATTTTTTTTTGTGCTTCACACGAAAGATTTTAATCTATGCTTGCTTTTGTCTCTTGCTGAAAGTACATCCATGGCTGCAAAAGCAAAGCAGTAAGATTCAGAATATGGCCCACCAAATCCATATATTCATGAAATGTGACTATTATGTAATTTACTTTTTTTTTTTTTTTTTTTTTTTTTCTTCCATCACTATGCAAAACACTGCATCTAACTGTCTTGGCAACTTCTTGAGCACTTCTGAAAAACATGACAAATTGTCTAATTCAGTAAGCAGTATTTGCCATCTCAACTGTAATTTCCAGATTTTAAAATGCAGACACAGAAAAGTGTTTACAACCTACTTTAAAGTAAAAGCAGAACTAATGAAGTAGTTGGAGCCCTACTGGATTTATTGGGCTTTATTCTATATACTGCAACATACAGTTTCGTCTACTTTATTAAGTAACTATAAAGATTTTAACCTGAGAGTAATGACAAACTGTTCAGGCTCATAAATTTACAAGCTATCCACTCACCCATATATTCAGATACACACATCTTATATCCTCCTTTTAAAAGGCTGGATACTACCATTACAACTCAATACAAGTCCTATGCTTCTCATTTTCAGAACGGGTGTTTACAAGTAAACTAAGTTTATACCACTTCAATGATGTGGCAAGTCCCTTTTATAAATATTTACCTGGTCCACATAAATTCCATAGGTAATGGATTTGCATCAGCATTACATCTGAGCTGAACATTCTCTCTTCCAATGAACCAGTTTCCATCATAGCCAGTTACTGAAACTTCTGGAGCATCTGACAAAAAAAGATTTTAACCTATCAATCACAGTATTTTCTTTAGAACATAAACTGTCTGTAATGCTTAGTTCACTAGAGCCGAAGGTGTTTTTTTAAAATTTAAAAAACAACATTTACACCAATACAGTTCCAAGCTACAGCATAATACGCAACAATGAATTACATCAGGAACAGTAAGTTGTTTTAATCAGTGCAACTCTCCCACTGTGTGTTTTCAGCAAACACATAGCATTCTGGGGAAGTGAGAGGATTTAAGAAGAAAACAATCAGTTTAACGTTTTTTCAAGTGAGGAATGGTAATTTTTAGAGCTACTTTTCAACATCAACATACAGCAAAAGATCACAAACAGAGTTTTGAGAAGCCAGATAATTAGGAAATCATCAAGAAGTTCACAGATGCCAGTTGAAAAGGTTAACAGCTATCTAGTGGCATCATGATAGAGAAGAATTATGTTGTTATGGCTCTAAAAAGCAAGGAGGTCACTTGATATAAGCCAGAGACACCTAGCTGAAATATTCAGAACTGAGGGAACAGAACAACTGTTATGATTTGTTATTAGCTCCTACAGCAGAGATGGAAAAGTAGTAGCAAGTGTAAAGGGAAGACTGAAGGAAGACTAGAGAACGGAGACACGAAGTCTCTGCTTCTCATTTGCTGCTGTGTTGCTTACTATGCAATTGTGTTAGAAGTTCTGAAACATGCCTTAGCACTAATTGCAGATAAACCCAAGTTTAAGACCAACTTGCCCCCTCATTTGACTTTAAATACAGAACTTCATTCTCTTATTCACTATTTGACATTAATGGGAAATAAATCAATACTAATCACTATTTTATGCCCAAATAAGTGATTCTTTACCAAACAGAAGAGAAACAAACCCACAAGTCATTTTAGTCAAACCAAAACAGCAAAGTTCACTTTTTCCAGCCACTACATTTCTTCTAATTGAACTGAAAGACTTCTATGATTTAGGATCTTTAAAGCAGCACACAGCTGAGACAGGATACCAAAGGAAGAACTTGAAAACAGCTTGTTTTGGTCACATACGCATTGTTTAACAAAAAAAAAAAGGATCATATGCCTAAGGATCATATGCCTAAAGTTTGTCTTAGCTCGTTTTAGCTAAGACATCTCACTTCATATTCACGTGTTTTAAAGCCACAAATTTGTTATACAAGCCCGATACAGGTTTGAATCACATGAGCAACCTGGAGCTGAATAATATATACATTAGTTATGCTTTTGTTTCCTTATGCAAATTAGAGTGGGAAAAGCTTAGTAATTAGAAAATAACTGACTCCCATAAGACCTACTTTCAACCAGTCATCTCAAACATGAATCTTCATTAGAATTCTTTTCTAATAGAGTTGAAATTGTAAGGCACCATGAACCATTCACAGATCAACTGAGTTTGTTATTTTGTCTGTAATCTTTTCAATGTTAAATATGAATAATAATGTTTACCCATGAGCCAATATCCAAAACAAACAGTAGAAACATAATGGTATTCTAGCTTTGTGACTAGGTTTTTTTTTTTAATTTTATTTTAATATGGAGACACTACGTTTCTACTCCTGCCCAACCTATCTTTTATCACATGCTTTTCTACAAAGTTTTAATTTCTCTTTTTCCTGAAGCAGTAAGTGCTCATCTCCTTCCTGTGGAAGGCACACAGCAATAAAAAGGCTGGTTTTAAGATATATACCAAGCAGTAACTACTTTACAGAATACTTACACTGTATATCCAACACATGAGGGAATCTCATCTCCTTTTCCAAAGCAGGATGCCGCACAATACAAGTTATAAGTCTTCCTCTTGCAAATCGTGTAGGGACAATCATATACTGACTTACAACTGTTACCGTTTCATTTGGAAACACACTGGAGCTGGATTCCTTTTCACCAAGACCTCCTTCCCAGTCAATCTCTGCAGCAGGTTTCCCAGTGGCTGCTATACAAGTGGCTGCTATTGTCCTATTTGCACCATCTATTAGAGGGTTTGGTCCTTTCATTAAGGTCACAACAGGTTCAACTAGGGAGGGAAAAAAAGGAAATTTAAGCAAGAAAGCCTTTATGTATTTGGAACCGTTGCCACATAAATGAGTTAGACAAGATCTAATCCATTTGCAAAAGCCCATACCAACCAGATATCCTAGAAATAAGATCATGCTATATATCAGAGATGGTATCTCTACAAAGCTTTGGCCTGCTGATACTGTTTCATCTTTGTCCACTCAAAGTTTAACGTTGCTCATTCATTAAATTGAATTCATTGACAGGGAATTCCAATGTGGTTAGGTTCAAAACTCCAACTACAGTGCTCCAGTTGCAGTATCTGACAAGACAGCCTCAAATATTGGGTTGAATCTGTACTTGATTTTTAAGAAAAGCTTAAGATTCTGCTGCACTTGCAAGCGTTATACTTTAAGTATTAATCTATACCATCAGTTTGTGTCATTTCAAAGCTACTTAATTCCATGTTTTAACACCAAGTGTTAGAGTTTAAGCTTCTGCTGATCAATACAAATTGATTCCATGCTGAGACAGTTAACCTCTAAAAAAGTATTTTTATATATACACTTAATCTATACAATCTAATATGTACAAATACAGATAATTTTACTATAAAATCTTTATATGCTTTTGATATAAAAATCGTTTTTTATGTAGGTAAAATTATGTCTATATATATTCTTATAAATGAATCCCTATAGAAGTAAAAAATTTGAACTCAATACTATGTCTGAGATGCAAGAAATCCACAAGTGGAAGGATCTTACCTCCTTGTAAACCCACTGCTCACCCCAAAATTTTAGAGGCCTGGAGAACACACTTCCTTCTAAAGGAAAGTTGAGTTCCTGATGTACAAGTCTACTGTTGAGGGCCAGAGACTGGGAAGCTTTTAAAAAAATGTCCCTCTTATTTAAGAAATCTGTGTGAGCCCTCTACAAGCCATCCACCAGTTGCAGTCTAAATCAGAAATACTACCTAGTGCTTCAGATACAAAGTTTTTGCTTTCTAGGATGGCCTATTTGTATTGATGATATGTGTTTTCCAGTAGCATACCAGCTATTCCATAATCCTTGCCCTTTGACCTAACGAGGCTATCCAAATCCTCTGAAGTGATGTCATCAATACACACCACAATGCTTCAGAGTCCAACTCAGTGGACCAGACCTCACTAATTACAAAGCAGACAGCTCTTGGAACTTCTGTGCCTCTCAGTATCCTATAAATTTAGTTCACAGAATTTCTTTTCAAGAACTTGAAGGTGACCCACAAATCCTGAAATGAGATAGAGCAGAGTTCACAGTATCTGGCCAGATACTCCTCCAACTACCTATACTTTCAAGAGACACACACTGGGTAACAAATATTTTCAGCTTGAGTGAATTCAGTGCCAGAATCAGTTTTTGTTCAGTCTAGCACTGCTCACATCTGAAGAAGGTGGTTTATTAGTTATTCAATTACACTAAAAGGAAAGGTAACTACTAAATGGATAATCTTATAAAAATATGTATTTTCTATTGTATGGTTAGAAATACTTAAAGAATATATCACACTACCAAATCAAAGGTTGGTTGGGCAGATACTGAGAGTGGAATATTTTCTACTTTGTTTCTCTGAATGCCCACCCCTCTCTGATTTGTTAGTAAACCTAATGTAAATAAACCAACAGCAGGGGTTTTCTGTCAAGTCCTAACTTGTCTCTTCTAGAGCTGAAGTACCTCTAACACATTTTCTTTCAAATTTTTTTCCTTGCTCTCCAACACTAGCAACAATTAAAGCTGCAATATTAAAACTGATGTACATATGAAGCATTCTATAATCTGAAATAAAAAAGCCTTTAAAACCTACTAAAGAGAACTTGACATTATATAGCTTTATTTGATCCACAACTCGGTTTCCCTGATTTAATATAAACAGTACCACCTTGTTTCCCACAAATCACTAGTAGTAACCTTTTCAGTAGCTTCTGCAGTATTACTGAAATGCCAAAGTCATCACCCAAATTTACAATTGGTATCTTACAAGCATAAAGACACTAATTTCTGCTGTATTCCTTCCCCCCCCCAATCTTCACAGTGAAATCAATTAAATTAGCAGTCATCACTACCTTTTCATGCCATAACCTATAGGCCCAAATAATTTCAGCTGAAAAAGATTTCGTGTATTCCATTCCTTTGAATTTTCTTCAGAACAACAACAACAACAACAAAACAGTACCCAACCCCAGAATGTTTCCTCCACCCCTTTGTGAAGGGATATGTAAGTCAGCAAGAAGTCTTAACTAAGGCAGTAATGGTCTCCAGACCCAAAGCAGAGTACTCAGTATGCTGCTTCACTTACCCTGCTTTTGCAAAAACATGCCTTCAAGTGGTAGTAGCCAGAGAACAGAATATAGATTCATTTTAAAAGTATAGTTTCTCCTCAGTTATAATTATTATGAAAAAAGCATACTTTGCTTACTCAAGTGATATATGAAATTTGTGAGATTGGCCTGTTTCAGCTCACTGTGTAATTCTTAGTTTTACACATGTCTAAGACACAAAGCTCAACTACTCAAAACTATTCACTTCATAAAATACTTATTCCCAGTCCAATGTATTTTGGTGCATTAGGTTTTTTTATACTTCACAAATGGTTAGGCTTGTAGTGTCACATCTTCCCATAAATCATGATTCTTGGACTACACATCAACTACAAGATAATCAAATAGCCACGTAATAAAAAGTGGAAAGCAACTGCTGTTATGATACTTATTTCTATAGTCTATCCTTCAGGATTACTTTGTCCCAGCAACTGAAGCTAAACCAGCAGAAACCCAGCTGCTCATTCTACAGCCCTTCTAGCTGTTTCAGTCATAAATTAAAATCAGTATCTTCTGAACAAAGTCCTAATTACACAGGGCCATTGACATCGGACCTCTCACAATGGGAAAGTTTGTAGGGGATTTTTTATGCGTTTTTGGCTGGCTTTTTTCTGAAAGTGTAACTTCTATATACATGGACTCTTGCAGCACCCCTCTTTTGCCCCAGGACCATCCTGTGTGCTACATGAATCATACTGAAGCACACCCTACAGACTTTCTTTGCTCACAGTTTTGGTGGTGGGGGAAACAAAGGAGGGTGGGAGAGCATTAGAGAAGCTGCTTCACTCACTCATTAGAAACATCATCCTCCATTCAGATCAAATGAAGGAGATGGTGTGGACAACGCTTAATTTGGGAAAGGAAGGCACGGATCCCACAAAAATCCAAAAGCATAAGGGACCTGCTCCCACAATGTAAGAATTGAAAGGCAGTGGCCATTTCCCCCACCCACTCTAAATAATCAGAGTAGATACACTGAATCAGAGGTTATGAAAAGGTCAGCGAACTATCTCATTCATATATCTTCACAGGAGAGGAGTCACACAGATCCAAAGCAATATTACAGCATGAACTATATTCGAGTTATAAGAAATGGTGGTTGAATTACAGAAGCTAGATGAGCAGCTGTTTAGGAAGTCTCAACTGACTTGCATGTCTGTGCTAGCCCTTTTACTGGTTCATGACCATTGTTTAATTTAACCCTACTTACTCTAGCCTCACCTTACACTCACATGGACAGAGATTTCTCACTGCTAAAGTCCTTACACTTCAGCTCCAGGGCCTCCAACAAAAGGAGGACAGAGACGTGTTGGATTCTAAGATTCTTTGTACAAAAACAACTTAAAATATCCAGAAAAAAAGAGCCTTAAATCCTATTGCATTGTTTCCAGGCCTCAAAGTTTCTTCTTGTTTTTAAGTACTTCATAAGCCTTTTTCAGATGCTTGTCAGTTTAAAAACTAGTTTTCTTCTGCCACTGTGCACAGGAGGTCTGGATGAAATTGGCATGATTACAACACAAACCATATTACTTCCACTTGCCATTAAATTCACTAATTCCTTGGCAACAGCATGAACACTGGGAATTGTCTGCCCCTTCTTCATCATAACTGACATTTACCTGAGTAACTTCTTCCAAACCAGTATTTCTACTTTTTATTTTTCTCCCCTCAAAGCCAGCAGCCTGATATTTCTGTGTATCTTATCCTGCCCACTAATTAATCATGGATTATTGACTTTGGGTTGGGGGTTTTTTTGGTTGGTTTGTTTTGTTTGTTGTTTGGGTTTTTTTTCCTTGAGTCCTGAAAGTTCACCCGTTTGTTACCTACTTGATACTTTTTCTTTGCCCGAATACATAGATCTCATCAACTAGCACTTTTCAAACACCATTACTTTATCAGAACAGTCTTAGAGGATCCATTTCCTATCCTGTCTGACATGTATCTTCCTTTAACTCCTTATTGTACGAATTTCTACATTAGTGTGCCTGGGATCTATTCATGGTGATAGAACTACACCTTTGACATCATAATCTGTGCAGCTCATCCTTAAACTTGTAGCATTAGTAAGAGCTAGGCTGAAGAACAAGGTCTACTTTATCAAGATCCATGCTGAAAAATCTAGCTTAGCAAGACAGTGGAGTCAAACTGAACCAAGTATTTTGAAAAGTCAAGTAGAGTGCTCAAGCTAGTAACAAAAATTATGTTATCTCTACAAGCTACCCTGTCACACACCACATCTTCTGCCTTCAAACACCATTTTGGCCATTTTAGTGAGCAACTTAAACAGCTTGACAAAATTCTTAGCAATGTTTTGCCCTAGTTTAACAAGGTAAGTTTGAAGAACTGAAGTTTGGACAAGATAGACACACAGCTTTGACCCAAAGAGCATTTTCATATTTTCACTGTTTTAACCTCTTCTTTTACAGTGCATTTCCTTAAGACAACATGAAGCACTAAGCAAAGCAAACCTCGAGTGAGCAAAGTCACTAGAAGTGGTAAGTCTGTGAAGCTTAAGTAGCATAAGAGGTTCTAAATATGGTCTTAAGTGATCAGTGTACTGTGACAAAATACAGGACATTTTATCTTGTAATTCCTCCATTTTTATTGTGTCTATCCCTCGGAGTGTACAAAAATCTACTACATGATTAAGTATGCACACTACACACAGGAAGGAAACTAATTATTTACTAAACAGGAACAGACTGAGACTAGAAAAAAAGGCAATGTTGCCTGGACTGGAAATAGTTTTAGCACTAAGGACAGGAACTTCTCACTTAAGGGAGAGTTTTTTAGAACAGTGGGAGAATGTATTCAGAATAAAGCTGATCTTAAGTTACATCAGATTTTAAATTTTGCTTGTAGCTATTCTATGCCTTAAGACTCTACTAAACTTGGAACTGCTGAGCTCAGGCCAGTAAAGCTCAGAAGTTATTCAGTTACATGCATATTCTGAAAACTATTACTTCCCTGGTATTTTTACTGTTTAAGGATAGATGTCAGTGTAGCAAAAAAGTTTTCAGAAGGACAGAAAATGTGCTGCTGAGGCCACAGGAAATAGGTAAGTCCAACAGAGGGTTGGCTACCCAGCTGTACTTGCAAGCCAAGTAGTGCTATCTGGGATGGAAATGCATTTTTGCAAGTAGTAGTATGTCTTGCATTTCAGAGGTTGCTACCAAGTCACTGAGAGGCTTACAACTATCAGCAACCTTCTACATCAACTATGAAAAAAACACTATGATCAGGATCACTCTATGCCTGACAAATACTACTTTATCTGTCCCAGCTACATTTTTTGATAATGTCTATCTTACCAAGCAAGTTACAGTCCTACATGTTCAAATATAGAACAATAAACATGGAGGCCATATGTTTGCTTTCCAAGTTCCTCCTCAGGTTCTCCACAGACCCAGAAATTTGAAAGGCACAATGGACACAACTACAAATGTGAAAATAATAATCTTAGAAATAGGAACTGACTAGATATGAGGGAAAGCAGTAAGAACCTCCCAATCTATGTTGATAAAGCACAATAGCTGAAACCTGAAGTCAAAAAGCTGCTACAATAGCCACTTGTTGTACAGACAGAAGACAGATGAAGAGAGCCATAAGGTTACATTATTTGTGTATCACATAGAACCTTTTTGGTCAAGTTCTTTGTTTCAAATTGGTTTAAGTCACTTTCTTTCGTGTGTTTATTTTGCCCCACCTTGTGGTGAAAACCAGTTTATGTACTGTGCTACAGCCATCTGATTCATCTCAGTGTTCTACTACTGTGGAAAGCAGAGATCAAAGACCAAGAAGATCTGAAAAAGCCCATTGTTTAAAAAATATTGTCACTGAGGACCACCTCAGCTGTAGAAAATATCACTTGACTATTTGCAGTAGATACAGGAGTAACTTACTCTAAGAAGGTATAATACTATCAAGAGAGGGCAAGTCAAGAGGTTTTCAAGTTTCAGAATAGTCTTTTTACCTCATACTGCATTATCACATCAGTCTACCTGCGCTTCAGTACTAGTCCTTTATGACAGGCAAGAGTGATCCCTCAACAAGACAAAATTAGTTTGTGAAAAACTGAGACCATAAGGTTGACATTATGACTATCCACAACCAGTCAAGGGCTTAGTCTCTTTCTTCCCACAACTCCCAGTAGTAGTCTAGGCAGTTTTGCTTTACATTTATACTGTGCAAAGGACAGTTTACAGCACCAAGCCCCAAGCAGCTGCATTAACTCATCATATCAGCAACATATTTATGAGGGAATTTAGCCAACGTGGTAGCTAAAGCTGTTTGGCAGCTTCTCAGCACACACAGAAGTCCCTAGTATCAATACTGCCAGGTCCCAGTTCTAAAGCACTATTCAATGTTTAGATTAGTACAATACCTAAATCGGAACTGCTTATTTATTTTTAGTAACAGGATAATTGAAGAGCAAGTTCTAAAGAAGCAAGACCCAAAAGAAGTATCCTCAATGATGTTAGTAAGAATACCAAATCACCTGTTACAAAAGACTGGCAAATACATTTTTGGTATTGTTGTTGGGTTAAAAGGTAAAATACAACATATGAGTAAGTTTGCAGAATTTCACTAACAAGTTTGTGCTATTAATTTCACTGCCTTTCATGAAGAAATTGACTTACCTAGTACTGTTACAGTTGTTGATGACTGTGTATTTCCAAGTGGGAATGTAACTGCCTTGCAAATATATTCTCCTGCATCAGAAAAGCTTACATTTTTTAAGATGATTGTTGCATCAGTAAGTGAGTAGTTTTTAAATGACACTCTTCCTTGGTATTCTCCTTGAACAGATATTCCATATTCGGGATGATGAACAGCAATAGTCTGTGAACTTTTACCATGTATCTTCTCCCAAGAAACTTGTGCTATTGTTTCATTTACATCAATTATGCATTTCAGTGCAACCTTCTTCCCCCAAACTGCTGTCACATGTGGATCAACAATTGGTCCAGCTAAGGCACCTAAAAACAAAGCAATCATTAGTTGGCACACAAGAAGGTTATATCTCTAAATCTTCACATGAAGCTTTCTTCAGTAATTATCCTGCCTTTTTCAAAGGAATTCCTACTTTCTTCTGAATAACTGTATTCTAGCTGATTCACAGCAGCATGGAAACACTACAAAAGGATGCTTTAAGTAGAAACATTAAAGCTAGGTGTTGATCTACCATTCTTCAGAGAATACTACCACCAACATACAGCTTTCTATAAAAATGACCTGAAAGTTGTATCAGTAGTTAAACTCCCAAAAGACGGATATACTTGATATGAGCACTGCATGTATTCAGACTTACTGAAAAAAACAGTAACCAGACATGGCACTTTAGCAGTCTGATTACTGATCCAGAACATCAGGTAAAAATTTAAGTTAAATTACTGCACTTTTTTCTACTTTTGAAAGACTCCTAATAAATATCATTTAAGGAGAAATGCACAAGCAAAACTTCTACCACTTACCATACCAGTAACTACTTAAAAAGCAAAGCAACAATTAAAAAACCCAAAAGACTCCAAACCCCCACAAATTACTCCATCTTAACAGTGACAGTCAGCCTACAAATTTAATTCTAGCTTCAGTATCCTAGTTTCCAATAAAGATATGTACCATATTACATATGCAATCTCTGCTACACTGCAGTGCGGGTGTCTTCACACTGGATCTTCCCTCTGTATTAATACAGTAAATGTGCAAGAGTAGGTATAGTCAAGTGTTTGATGAAGATTCAATTTATTTCCATTTAAAACCCAAAATACTTCTCACAGTAGCATTTTGAGCTCGGCATTTTACACCACCTCCTTTCAAGAAAGGAAATCCACCAGGACAAAGCAGTTCATTAAGCCACAGGTTCGCAATTTTTTCTGCCAAACAGATGCTCCAGCTACTTAAATTCTTCCTTCTCTTGGAGTGAACTAACTTGATGAAAAAGAATCAGTCTTAATCCATACTGTATTTCTTTTTATTGTGCTTAAGTTTTAACAGAGACATTTCAACTGCTCTGATTTTACCTTCAGTTATCAAATCAGTACTCAACCTGTTGCCAAGAAAGTTTACCCAAGGAACAAGATACAAATCTAAATTTTCACAAGCATGAAGAGGTCATTCAACTTGAGACATTAACTGCCTTTTCAGTCAACAAATTCCCACAAAAAGAGAAACCATGTGTCCATGAAAAAAAATCTCTATATGCCTTTATGTACAAGTTCATTGCTTTCCATTTCCCATCAATTGATTTTTCAGTGTTCCAACCATAACTAAGTCAATGAAGACACCTAAACAAGCAATTTAAAGATTCAGCTATGGATTTCTTCAGTATAGAACTACTGACTAGTGCTAACAGTACAAAAACATTAAGTTGCACAAATAAATCAAACCAAGCCAGAACTTTATACTAAGATTGTTGATGTGCCAGTCACTGAGAGGGTCTGGTGAGGGGAAAAAAAAAAAAGCCAGAAAACCCCAAAACCTGATTAAGTTTCATACAAGGAATATCTACCATGACTAAACCACAAGTCATGAAAGGCATGACTAGTCTCCTCATGCCTCTTGAACTAATACACACTATTGAGACAGATGTTGAAATTGAACACTAACTGAAAAGCACAGAATTCTGCCCAAATTTTGTCTCCACTTGCCACTGCTCTATCTAAGCATAAGGTGGAACATTTCTTAAAAATTATTCAACTGTTGCTATCTACCATTTACATATAATTAAGGCTCACAAGTTACACTTCTGCAATGTACTTCAGAATGTACAGAATATACTTATTCTGTAATGTCATTTAAGAAAACCACTTTTGCTCAGGAATCAAAAATTTGCAATACTTAAATCTACTGAATCTTAAGCTGTACTGAACCTTAACATAATGCTCAGCTGTGTGTAACTCCAACAAACTTAGTACAGAAAAGCCCTACAAGTAAACTTACACAAAAGCTGCTTGGATTTCTGGGAAGGTAACAAACTGCATTAGAAAGTCATCCTAGTTAGTAAAAGACACAAGCTGTTTTGTTTCAATTTTTTATTTTTGACAACTCTTCCAATAAGAGGCTTTAACTAAAGATGACCAGACTACATTTTAAAAGTCAGTCAAGACTCAATAACAATTATCCCTTTTCTGAAGATGTGAGAAGACATTTTTTCCACCAAGGAATACTTCTAACAGCTCATTTGTTCCATGAGAACATAGTGTTCTCAAATGAATTACATGAATATTTTGAGACTAACTTTTTTTATTGCTGCTACTTTTAAGATTTACAGAAAGAACTGAACAGGCCTCATATATATTTATACATGTACACATGCAGCCATAGAACATTACTTGTAGCTATGGAACACTGCTCAGTTACATCTTGTTCATTCCTCTTCTCCAGTAAATGAAATGGAACCAATAGATCATTATACCAAATTTTACATGTTTATCTCATCTTCTGACATGTTCAGAGTCCAAAGACAAAAAAACCTAATCTATGCTGATCATTTAACTTGAACTATAGTCTTTATATAAGAGTATATATACTTCAAATTGTTTGAAGTTTTTAAAATAGTTTAAAGCTCAAGTGAGAATAACCATATCTTTAATTTACAATAGTGTCCCTGGTTTTAGTCTTCAGCCAGTTATTATTTAGCTAACTTCTCTGGGTTGCTGAGCAATCAAGCTAACAGTTCAAACTAGCCAGCTAATTACCGTGATGCTATTAAGTACTCTCCAAGACTCAGGACTCCAAGATAGGTATTTCCTTTGCCATAGTGACTTCCACTTGAAAACCAGTATTTTGCTCAAAGATTGTACTTGAATAATGAATAGCAGCTACATGTCTACTCCAAAATAAAGCTTTAGAGGCATACAATGCACAAGATTCTAAAGAGCAAAACACTTCAAGGCAACATTATTCATCTCCTTAACTGATCCAAGGTACTGATGCATAGGACACATTTACTGTTGTAATAAAGTCTAGCTCTCCTCTTGAAATCTAATACTGAAACGTGACCTCCTTCACTCACACTTTCACACCACTGAAGGCCTTGACTATCATAATTCTCATCATCACTTAAGGAAACAATTTGTATTCACTTACTAATCAAGATTTTAGCTTCAAGACAAAAGCAGTATCATGAAGTCTTCTTACATCTTTCCTTAGATTTGACAGGTTTTGTGCATCTTTTTTCCCTTTTCTTTTTGCTCACTTGGAAGACAGTAAAAAGAGCTTGTGTCTTCCCTCTCATTTCCTAATCATGTGTGCTGACAGGTCATCTGTTCCAGCATGTCTTTGAAACATGGAATGAGGTTCTCACGTAAGCCGCTTAAAGACACTGTTAGATGACTTTTACTGGTGGGTTACAATAATTACTTGAGTACTGTATTGTGATATGGCACCCAATGCCATTCATTTCAAAGCTTTAAAACCATACTGAACTCATTCAACCTGTATAAATGTTTTAGAACTTGTCTGTACCAGTCAGCCAGACTTCCTCCTTTAATGACACAGTTCATACCACTGCTCAGATTGCACAGACAACAGACAGGGGACTTACTTTGTTTTGATCAGCAAGAGATAGTCCAGTACTGTTTCATTATGAAGCCTGGTATTAATTGCTATCTCCAGTACCTTCAGATGTTTCAATTTTAGCTAAGTCCCTATGTACTAACTGAATTTTTATCACACAGCGATCCAATCCATGCTGGTAATACTTCACAGCCAAGTCTACCACAAAACCACCTTATGTCTGAAGCTAACAGAAGTTAAGCAGATGGATGCTCCTCCTAGTTGACCTACTTGATACACCTATTTTCAGGCCTATCTGCAAACAGGCTAGTAAGACACTCAACCTATTTCACCAATAATACTGTTAGTTGCATGCATATACTAACAGTCCACATCTCAGTTTCTCAAACTGCAAGAGTTCCTCTCTATTCCTAATTTTAACAACTGAGAGGACTCGTAATAAAGTAGTTATTAACTATTCACGGCTCCACACTTACCTATTAATACCATGAGACTGTTCTACCTCAACAATCTTAACATAATTTCAAAACTGATTATCTCATTTGAGAATGCAGGGAGATAAAGCATAAGCTGCTTGTTCTAACATTTTTGGTAAAACATCTTCCAGAGAACCATGTTTTTGACCCTGAGTTCTGACACACCCTGCCCCCTCCCCAAAATGAGCTGCAGTATCTCTTAATTTTCCCACCCTTCCTTCACATCACCACACAGACCAGATCTCAACATCCAGTACTGCAAATGTATCTCAGTCCAAACTGTACAAGCTAATGTTTTATTTCAAATAAACACTGAATTTCTTTTTTTTTTTTTTTTAAACGGGAACTTGATGTTGCATTCACTAGCCCTCCAGTTTTAGACCACTGCAAGAATCTTATTCAAAACAGCAAGGCACTGACCATTCTCACTTAACTTGTCAAAAAGCTGTTTGGAGACAAACAAAAAAATCCCTAAAACTCACTTCTAGCATTAAAAGCCACAGTACTAGGAACTACTAAATACTGACCATGGTAACAGAAGCTGTTCACTAGTAATTCTTAATCAAGCCTCACTCACTAACTGAAAAAAGAGATACTGAGGAACTATAGGGTCCTGAACATACAACAGCATTTGTCATACAAAAAAAGTACTCATGCTATGAAATGAGAAAGTATTCTCCACACTTCCAGGCTTATTATTTGTTTTAATAAACAACAGATTTAGAGATTTGTCTATATGGACCAGCCACATACAAGTCCATTTACAAAAGCAATCCATTTTGTTACCTGCTATAGAACCATGCCCTGCTTAATAGCACACCACTGCCAAGAGAGAGACCACAATGACACTTCCTAGCCACTTATGTTGTACTAGCTGTCAACCATTTCCACAAGACAATAAAGCCAAACTGCAAAAGAGCAGAAAAAGTGAAGTTTTCCTCTACATCAGCAAGTTATTCAGCTCATGAATATATCAGGCCTTAGCACACACTAACACTGGGAACTATGAAGAGTTCCAATCAAGAGCGGAGCAGAACAACAGGAAC